TACATAAGATAAAGTAACCGAAAAATTGATTTGATAAATAATTTCATAAAATAACCTACCAAACCATTAACATTCCTATTATAAAAGACAAACAAGACCGAGTACGAAAAGTTTTAATTGAATGTTTAGAACTTCATGGTCGATCGGCAACCGTTCTTAATGTTTAAATTTGAAATATTATGGATAATGCTTAGAACACATAATCAGTGTATGAGAGGATATCTTCGTGTCACGACCCTAAAACCGACCCGGTCGTGATGGTGCCTATCGGAACTAGGCCAGCCGACACAACTCCCAAATTAACCATTATTCAATAAAGGTCATTTTTATATCATTTATTAATCAACAAAATACTATTTATTAATCAACAATCTCATGATGTAAGTCTAAATGGATAGTGCGGAATAAATACACAAGCCCGACATCGGGGTGTCACAAGTCACGAGCATCTACTAAGGTCTGAACACAACTACGAATCTAAAATGTACTAAATACAGTCTAAGGAAGACAAGAGGGAGAAAAGCAATGCTGCGAACGCCAGACAGCTACCTTGCTAACTCCGGTGACTCTTCCACTGAGCAATCAACACCCGCAATCGGGTTCAAAATAATACCTGAATCTGCACACAAGGTGCAGGGAGTAATGTGAGTACGCCAACTCAGTAAGTAATAAAAGTAAATGAAAGCTGAGCAGTAAGAAAACATGTAAGCCGCGTCGTAACGCTACAGCAAATGCAGTACGTTTCCAAAACAGTACAGAAATTATTTACTTCGTAAATCATGCTCAATTTCAGTAAAAACCTTTTTAAAACAACTTTCAATAGTTTCAAACGAGTGATAGAAACAGTGAGTAAAAATGATAGAAACGTAAACAGCTCATCGGGCAAAACATGTACCATAAAGCTCCTCGGGCACAATATCAACAGAACCAGCCCCTCGGGCTACCTCACAATCACTCGTAATCAGCCCCTCGGGCATAACATGAATCAAGAACCGCCCCTCGAGCAACATAGATCAAGAACAGCCCCTCGGGCTTCAATATGAAATAACAACTGCCCCTCGGGCTACAACACATCACACACACTGGGTACCCACGCTCAGTGGGGGTGTAGAGACTCCGGGAGGGGCCCCTTACTGCCCAAGCGCAATAACAAGCCATCTCGTGGCATAATCAAACAGGCTCTCGGCCTCATATCAATCACAAGCCACCTCGTGGCATAATAAATCGGGCCTTCGGCCTCTCATATATCACAAATCAGTACCACATGCTGCGGCGCGCAGCCCGATCCCATGATCACAACACAGGCCCTCGGCCTCACTCAGTCAGATCTTACTCAAGCCCCTCAGGCTGACAGTAAAACAAGTATTCGGCTCAAAATCATTTATGAAATCAAAAGGAGTGAATAAAACCGAGTTATGAAAACAGTAAGAACATAGCATGACTGAGTGTAAACATTAAACCAAAATAGTGAGGAAAAATAGTAGTAAAAGCCCTTAAGGGTCCAAACAATCGGCACAAGGCTGGCATTTAGCCCCAAACACAATAATATTTTCCAAAATATAACAATATCAAATAGTTTCCAAGTAAAATACGCGACTTAATAGTCGTACAGGATGGACCAAGTCACAATCCCCAATGGTGCACGACCCTACGCTCGTCATCTAGCGTGTGCGTCACCTTCAAGTAGCACAACGATGTGAAATCCGGGGTTTCATACCCTCAGAACAGTATTTACAATCATTACTTATCTCTATCCGGTCCAAACTCTAGCCCGTGATGCTTTTGCCTCTCGAATCGGCCTCCGGATGCTCCAAATCTATCCAAAAACAGGTTTATACCATCAAAATGTGCTAAGGGAACAAAGCCCTCTCGAAAATATCCAATTTATACCCAAAAATCCCGAAATTGTCCAAACCGGCCCCCGAGCCCATGTCTTGGAATACGATAAAAATCACACCAATAGAATCCTCATTCTCTCACGATTTCGTACATACCAAGAACATCAAAATCGGACCTCAAATGGCCCCTCAAATCCTCAATTTACACTCTCAAAATTTAAGCCCTAATTCCCCAATTTTAGGTTTTAAATTCCACATATATCATGTTTAAACAAGTAAAAATCATCATAGAATCGAGTTTAGGTCCAAAAAATTTACCTCCACGAAACCCTCCTGAATTTCCTCTTCAATTTGCTCTCCCAAGCTCTCTCCCGAATGAAAAAATGGTGAAAAACCACTCTAAATCGCGAAGGGCCAAATCTTATATGTTCTGTCCCGGTATTTCGCACCTGCGATGCACTACTCGCATCTGGGAGGCCGTATCTGCGCCCCTCCTAACCGCTTCTACGGTTTTCACTTAAATTTTCCACAACCGCACCTGCGACGCCATATACGCACCTGCGGTCACGCAGGTGCGTTCTTTTTCTCCGCTCCTGCGATTTTTGCTCATTTCGCCTGTGGCCGCATCTGCGGCGCCCTGTCCGCTTTTGCGGGCCCGCACCTGCGGTCCCCAATCCGCAGGTGTGGTTATGACAGGTTCAGCAGCTTCAGCTGCAACCTCAAGTTTCCGAACTTTCCGATAACCATCTGAAACTATCCCGAGGCCTCCGGGACCTCAACCAAAAGTACGAACAAGTCATATACCCCTATTCAAACTTGTACCAATCTTCAAAACACCTCAAACAACATCGAATCAACCAAATCATATCGGATTCAAGCCTAAGGTTCCAAAAACTTCCAAATTCCGCTTTTGATCAAAAAGTATATCAAACCACGTCCGAATGACCTGAAATTTTGCACACACGTCACATTTGACACAACGAACCTACTGTAACTTCCGGAATTTCATTCCAACCCCTATATCAAAATCTCACCTATCAACCGGAAAAAAAAAAACGCCAAAATTTTAATTTCGCCAATTCAAGCCTAAACCTTCCACGGACCTCCAAAATATATTCCGATCACGCTCCTAAGTCCCAAATCATCTAATGGAGCTAACCAAATCATAAAAATTTCAATCCGAGATCATTTACTAACAAGTCAAAACTTGGTCAAACCTTTCGAATTTAAAGCTTCAAACTGGGAACTGTTCATCCAAAACCATTCCGATTACCCTGAAAACCAAAACCGACGATTTACATAAGTAATAATACATCACACGGAGCTAGCCATGCCCGAGAACTGGCAAGCGAAGTGCAAAAGCTCAAAACGACCCGTCGGGTCGTTAGACTTCGTGACCTCTTATGTCTCCCTCATAAGCGAGTAGGATAATTAAATTAGAGAAATCAACCCTACAAGCAATTATTTTAGTATCGCTATTAGAAATATATGTACTTCTTGCAAGACTTTGATGGCGAATGATAAGTAACTTGCTAGAAGACTTGTTATATTGTTTCTAAATACAAATGCATATTCTTATTGACTTTTCCTGTCCTATACTCTGTCTTGAACCTCCAAAAATATAACTCTTGAGAATTTAGACTTTTAGAGCACTTATTCTAGCTAATTGAATAATGTGACACCACAAGAAAAATAAACTAGTGGCGCAAAGCAAACTACCACCTATGCAATCATGGAAATTAAGGACTAAAACAAGAAAATACTAAATGCTTTACACAAAGAGGAAACGCTTCTTTTCCACAATTTGAAAACCCAAAAATAAGAATCTTAGTGCAATTATTGCCCTAGCTCCTTTTTTCTCTACCACATTTCTCCAATGAATGTGCTTTTAAAAGACGATTTGATGCATCCAAGAGAACTTTCTTGTAGCAGCAATTATTAACAAGAGGAAAGTAGTGTATGTATTGAAGACAAACTTGAAGTGGTAGGATTCTCTTTTCCATTTTGGAATATTCATGTCCCATCGATTCTTCCAATACGAAGGAATTAATAATTATTCTGAGTAGAAGTAGAAATCATGTGACTGCGGTAACAAATTACGACTACTAATAGAAAACAAAGAGGGAACAAAATAATTGAAAAATATCAAATGGAAACGACGAGACACGTTATGTTATATTTCATACACGGTCAAGTTTATTGTGAGACTAGCTAGCCTGTATTACACCAATCCAATTTATGCATGTTACCTGATTTTCCCTATATAAGGGAATATAGTTTCTCTGTAGTGTCGCTTTCACAAGGTCAAATAATCTAAATTATATGGCCGTTATAAGGACTATTATATTATAATATAAAAACTTCAATTCAAATGCATATATGATCTACAGGCATTTATCTGGTAATTGGTGTTTAAGAACTCTATATTGACAAGTATATGTAAATGACTTATTATACACATAATATACTAAGTCATTCACATGAGTCAATCGAATTCATGTATAATGGAGTAATATATACATACCCTAATGATTGATACTATATATTATGTATATTTATTATATTTATAGGAGTAATATTTATATTCAAAAAAGGGAAAAGATCACACTACACAGTCCTGCTCCGGTATTCCTTTGACATTGTATGATAATTTCTATCAAGAACTTTATTTTCTTCTGTCAGCAAACCTTCTGTGAAAGATTTCAAAAGGTGAAAGCACTGTTTTAAGTTATCGTTGAAGCAATCTTCTAGTAACTCAAGTACTCCACGACGTAGGTCATGAATTTTTTTTAATCAGTTAATTAGTCTCCATTTTAATGCATGTGCTTATATTTAATAACTAGTAAAATTAATGTGTGAGATTTTGACTATAGGTCAGTTTTATGGTCATTACAAATGTAGTTCTTTTAGTTACTCCTCTATCTATAGTACTCTTTTTTTTTTTACATGAGAAGTTCGGCAACATATAACACAAAAGTTCGGCAACAGTAAATAAAACACAATATACTTAATTCTTTGTATTTTCTCATCTTAGACAACGGTTTTGCTCTTGAATTTTCTTTCACCGTTATACATATAAAATAGCTAGATTGACACTAATAACTTTTTTTAAAGATATTTTTTACTATATACATATATTAAGCGGATGGGAAACGAGAAGAATTACTAAAAATTTCAATTGCAGCAAAACGATGGTACTAACAAAAACATAACATAAAAAGGGAAGAGCACTATATATCCACATTGGCTAGCTAAGGAGCTAAGAGGTGGAAATTAGGGTTGGTTATCAAAAAGAGAACTGGTTTCTATACATATCATCCAACAAAGCTAAATTCAAAAAAGCTCATGAAACAACGTAACTATGTCTATGGCAGCTTCAAGTTCTTATCTCCTTCTTTTTCTTGCTCCTGAAAATGTCGCTTATTATTCTTTCTTTTCTTCTTCTCATAAGCAATCCCTCTTGCCTTAGCTTGTGAATCCCTCACTTCCCTCAAATACAACCTCACTGCTCTCGCCCCAAACGGATTTGTCTCCGCGCGTCCTCCGTTCTCTTCGAAAGCAGCGCGTAGCCTACCGACTAGCGCGTCAAGGCTGCCCCACGCTTGTTTCAACGGACATGTACATGGTGCCGGCGGCTGAGGGTGTCCAAAAAACGGACAACAACAGTTGTGAACTTTGGTTTTTCCGAACTGATCTAGGTACTTTAAGAATTCAAGAATGTTTGCTCCGCTGCACCTTGATAGTATCAATGGTGGCTTGTGGTTTTTTAAGTATTGTCCGAATGTGTTCCAGTCTCGCCGCTTTTGTAGCTCGTAACGGCTCACCGCCGGTGATGGCGGCGGCGGCGCTGTCGGTGGGGAGAAGTTTTCTGAGATAGAACTTGTACTAAACACGTCTAACATGGCTATTGTTTTGTGGGGGACTTTTAACTTTTGAAGTTCTTGGAGGGTATCCGCCTCACTATATATAGAAAGTGAGAGAGTTAAATAATTTTACTTGTTGAGGGTGATGATTTGATTTATTTGATGTTTGTTTGTCATGGACAAGAAGGAATATTTCTTGAAATGTGAAATTTAAAATACTTGTTTTTGTTCACAAGTAAAATTCATAATTGTGGATAAAATGAATATCATAAAAGATAACATATTGAGACATAAACTTATCCAATAAATTGTAGAGTACTTAATTTGCATTTTAAAATGACCTCGCATATTAACTAAAAAATTCAAATTTAGTGTAGGGAGGCAAGAGTAGTCCAGAGCAAAAAGCACTTCAGAGTGAAAAATATAAATATTATTTGGGGTGGTTTTTTTTAGTTTTAAAAAAGTATTATAATGTGCTGATTATTTTATGAAGAGAATAATAATGTCTAGATTGATACGCAATAAATAAGTACTCTCATGTTTCAAATTAATTGAGGTACTTTCCTTTTTAGTCTATTCCAAAATAAGTGTCACATTTCTGAATTTGGAAATAATTCAATTTAAAACTCTTCATTTTACTCATTTTATCCTTAATGAGAAACTTTTATAACCACACAAATATCATGACCCCACAAAGCTTTTACCCCTTAAGTTTTTAAGACCACAAATTTCAAAAGTCTTTTTTTTTTTTTTCTTAAACTCCGTGTCGAATCAAACTAACTCATCTAAATTGAAACGGGGGGAGTAATAAATAAATATTATGTAGTGAAATGATAATTATACATTTTATGCATGGATTGTTATACATAAATTACCTAATTTTAAGCTATATCTATTTTTAGAAACTTTTATTCATATACTGTGAATATACATATTTTATTTCACATTTTTATTATGTATAAAATAAATTATATTAGTTATACCAAAATCAATAATACAGAATTTGATTTTCAGAATTGAACTCTCAACCATAAATTATGTGAAGTTTAATACTAAAATCAAATAATTTATTAATTATATACAAAAGGTTATACTATATAGTAGTAGTGCTATAGTTATACAAAAATATTAGACGTTATAAAAATAATAGAGTATAGAATTTTATACAAAAAAAATAAATTTTCTTAAATATAAACGACGTAAAAGTAGAAAATAGTGAAGAGACTAGAGAGAGAGTAGACTTTTGTAGAGAAAAAGTAATGGGGGAGAAAGAAAGAAAGAAAGGACGGGCCTACGAGTTATGACAGAGTGAAAATCACTTCAACTAGTCTTGTCAAATGTAACTTCATCTCCTCGTCTTATCAACTATCAAAACTTGGAGGATCGTCATTATCATCATCATTCTATTTCACCCTTTTCGATTCTTTCCTTCCTCCTTTTGTCTTTTTATTACCCGTGTGACAGTGGCTTAACTTGTTTTGACCACCTATGTCTATCGTCCGGAACCAAAATGTAGTTCTTTTGAACTCAAAGAATCGAGACGTTTAAAAAAAAGAAAAAGATTTGACCATTTTATATATAATGCTCTTTTAAAGGACGCTATACCTTAACGGTCGTTTGCCCAGTTAAGTATAGAGCCCTTTTAAAAGGCGCTATATATATAATGCTCTTCCTTACCGCGCTATACATACTCTGTGGGCCCACCAATAATTGTTTTGGGCTAAACAGACATAACAATAATTCAAATGGCTATAGCACCCTTATTTAAGGCTTTATACCTCAAAAAATTCGACCCCCCGAATTGGTTTTTGCCTTATTTAAAGACGTTAAGGATTTTGTAAAAATCCATTCAGAAATATTCTCAAGTCTTGTGAAATATTTCTTCGTTAAGTTGTTTTGCATTTTGTTATAATGTCCGAAGAGCGAAGAATTAGGGTTTCATTATATTTGGGTGGTGAGGTTGTGGTGGCGAATAACTCAATAAGTTATAGTTTATCTCCACAGTGTCATGTTAAGTTGCCACTTATAATGGAGTACGATACATTGGTATCGTTGTTATGTAAAAAAATGAGTGTGAGCAAACGTTCGGTGAATATTAAGGTAATCGGGAAGATATCCGTATTATGTGACTCCTCAATGGTTGCTTGTTATGCTGAGTTTAACATCGAAGATGATGAAACTCTTAGAGATTTTTTGAGGACTCCGGATAAAATACCGAGAATTTATTGTGATAAAACTATTGGAAATGTACGTGAAGGCTGAAGAAGTTCGCAATAATGAGGTTGCGCAAAGTATGGATATCCCTCAATCATCGGGTGGTTATTTTGGAGCAGTTTTAGCCGAATAGGTTCCGACTGAAAGAGTTTGGCTTGATCTAAGCTTATATCCACGGATGAATGAGGAGCGAGGAAATAATTTCTCCCCTAGTATACATAATCCACAAGCCGGGTGGTAAACTTCAATTTTCCCTTGTGTTACAATGTATATTTTTTGTGCATTAAATTTGTATTAACGCTCGTATATTCCACAGAGGGTACCATAAAGATATGAATTTTACAAGTTATGAACCAACGGCCAGTTGAAATATGTCTAGTTTTGGTGTGTTGGATCATAGTGGTCCATCCCGGAGTCATCATCAACAGGATAATGTGCATCATGGGATATCAACACATTATGATTTGTAAGTGAATATATAAAGTTATATGTAAAGTTTAGACCAATCTGAGTAACTCATTATTTTATTTGTGCAATGAAAACGAGCAACTTGATGGTCATGTCCTTACTCAATTGCCCGAAGACGACATATTAATCGGGATCTGGCAGATGCGCAGAGTCAGGAAGAGAATAGTGATTATGACAACGATGCCGATGAGTTTGGAGATGACACACCCTTCCCTGACGAGGGTGATGATGAGGAGGAAGAGAATGATGAACCTGATTTGACGAGGGAGCATGCTCCACCTCCCGTTAGACCAAGAGTGTACGATCCTCACGTGCTGTTTCATTCAAGGGAGATTCCCTACCTTGATCATTTGCCAAGTATGTCGGATGCGGTTGCCCTCACAAGGGATATTGACGAAATTCGGACAGCAATGTGGGATGAATCTAGACCAATGGTGCTGTCAAAGGGCATGCTTTTTCCTGATAAAGCGCGCCTAAGCAGGGCGGTGAAAATGTACAACGTAAAAAAGTGTCGTGAGATGATGGTATGGGAGTCATCTCGGGATATGTACAAGGTTATTTGTCGTAGATGGTTTACGGGTTGTAATTGGATGTTGTGTGCGAGGAAGAAGAAAATAAATATGTGGGTTGTGGGTAAATCATTGGCACCCACAATTGTGAAATGGACACAGTCAGTGGGAATCACTTTAACTTGGATGTTGACTTGATTTCTCTTGTCTTGATTCCACACATTGAAGCGTCCATAAGGTACATGATCAAAGAGTGTATTACATCTGTCCACCAGGAATATTGGTGTACCATTACCAAAAGAAAGGCATTTCTCGGGCGCAAACGTGCGTTTGAAATTGTTTATGGTAACTGGGATAAGTCATTTGCATCTCTACCCAGGTACATGGCCGCATTGCAACACTTTAACCCCAGGAATATTGTTGAATAGAAGCTTGAGCTGAGTTCAGGAATACCAGAACATATATTCAGATATGTGTTCTGGGCATTTAAACCAGCAATTGATGGTTTTGTATATTGCCGTCGGTAATATCCATAGACGGCACTCATGTCTATGAAAAGTATGATATTAAATTGTTGATCGTTGTTGCAGTAGATGCTAATGGAAGTATATTTCCCCCAGATTTTGCTATTTTGTGCCAATGAAAGCCAAGAGAAGTGGACGCTATTTTTGAACCACTTGAAGGAGCACATTGTCAGACAACGTTCAGGTATTTGTCTAATATCTGATCGGCATGGCGGTATTTTAAGTTCTGTACAGCATTTGCCTGCATGGCAGGAACCGTATGCATACCATCGTTTCTGTGTGAGGCACCTAAAGGCTAATTTCCAGAAGTCATATCCCAACAAAGACTTGCATGATTTAATGTGGATGGCTGCAACAAATCATCAAGAGTGCAAATTCAAGAGGCACATGGAATCGATCAGGCAGGAAGACGAAGGATCCTATCGTTGGTTGATGCGACATGAGCTTGACAAGTGGACATTGCATGCGGATGGTGGCAGACGATGGGGAATTCTGACTACAAATGTGTCAAAGTCTTTCAACGGGTTATTGAAGTCTGCACGTGAATTGCCTGTCACTGCCATGGTGCGAATGTCATTCAAGTAGATGTTTGAGAGGTTTGTTGAAAGGGCTAGAGTTGCATCAACATTGATAGAGAGGGGTGTTGAATTTATGCCAATACCAATGAAAAGATTTGAGAAATACAGGACGAGCACATTGGCATTCATATTTACAATATTGCAACGAGCGAAATATTTTTGAAGTTCGCACTGCTATCTATCAAAATCGGGGGAATAATACACACACCGTAAATGAAGCCAGAAGGTTATGCTCTTGTGGGAGATGGTCCATCTACCACATGTCGTGCTCGCATGCCATAAAGTGCTTTCAACATACAGGTTTCCCGGCAATCAGCTACATTGATAAGGAATATAGTGTTGCTGCATACTTAAACACCTATAGTGCATAGTTGCATCCAGTGGGTGCTGAGCATTATTGGCCGCCGGAACCATTTAAAATGGTGTGTAACAAGGAGTATTTGCGTCAGCGACAAGTGCAAAAAAGAACGCATATACGGAACCAAATGGATGTTGGTGATACCGTTTATGCGCGTAAATGTGGCATATGCTCGCAAACAGGACACGACCGTCGTAAATGTCCTTCAGCTGGTTTGGGTAGCGGTGGTAATTCAGCTCCCGGTGGAAGTTCATCCAATGTGCCCAATTATCAAGGATACCCGTAGTGTTTTTTTCTAGTAATTTGTTATAATGAGTATATATACATGTTCATCTTGCAGAATATACGAAATAAAATTATGTTTTCATTGGTGTTAAGTCTTATTGATATTTAGCATTAATACTTCAGTACAACAATTTAACATACACCCCAAGAAAAAAAACAATTATCATTTGCCATTATCGTCGCTGTCTGGCACTATTTCATTGTCATTGTCTTCAACTTCTTCGTCAACATCGTGTACGTTCCCTTCGGGACCGAGGGCATCGTAATCTAGGCCTCAGTTGACACACATTTCTCGTATTTCATCGCTATCATAAAGAAGACCACTTGCTTGATTTCTACAATAATATGGGACACCTACGTCCAATGTCTGTGGTAGAAACTTAGGTAGTCCCTCCCACTCGACAACTGTTGGGAAAACAGGAATCATTGTCTCTATGCAATTTATTATTTTCTAATAAATCCTAGTACTGATCCTTTGTTCCTCCCAAGAAGTTAAGATTATCCATTGCATGATGAACGACTAGTGCCTTTTCCATCTCTAAAATCTCCTTTATCAGAGTTCATCTTTGTGTATGGTTGTTTGGAAGGCTGCAGACAGTGCTTGTGGCACAAAAAGCCCATGCCAGCGACATAGTACTTCGTAATCACACCGTTTTGAGTAAAGGGGAACCCATTGTAGTTTTTCACCTCAAATTCGCATACCTTCAGGCTTTGTAGAATGCGCTTCGCCCTCAATAATGTGCCTTGCAACTTTGAGATCAATGTGTATATTGATAGGCTAATTTTCCAAGGTACGCAGAACACCATACCACTTGCAAGTCAGTGTAGCAACCTAGCATATTTTTTTCAAGGTAGGGATCGATTTGTTAAGACGTGATCCATGGGGATCTGTTGAACTACCTTCACCTTTTTGCCTCTTTTTGGACCACTTGTTAAATGTTAGTGGCATTTTTTTAATGGATGTTGTAATGTTTATTCACAAGGTCTTTGAAATACATATGACTTGGTTTAGTGTAAGAAGCTTTCTTATACCTGAAAGAATCATTATCACGCGAAGCATAGCGCAATGAAATACCACGTTATGTGTATTGTCTTGTCGACCTGAAAAAGCTGCCTTTCTGGAAAAGTTGTCTTCTAGAAAAGTTGTATTGTACCCTAAAGAATCATTAGCATGCGAATCATAGCACGGTGAAATACCACATTATGCGTATTGTCTTGTAGACCTAAAAAAGTTGCCATTCTGGAAAAGTTGTATTGTACCCTAAAGGATCATTATCACGCGAAGCATAGCGCGGTGAATACCACGTTATGTGTTTTTTTCTTGCCTATAAAAGCCTAGCGCATTTAGTTATTATTTGCATCAAGTAGAAAAAACTTTCCATTAATTTTGCATTTGTCTTGCATCAAGAAATGTCTGGACGCAATGACATACGTATTTGTTATTGTGGCAAACTTGCGATTTTGAAGCCATGTTGGTCAAATGGTAATGTGGGGCGCAGACGCTGGATATATCAACAACCTGTAAGTTATTGTTTTGCAAAAAATATTTGTTAATATTTTTTATATAACATGTTAATTAATAGTGTAGTGTTATAATCCCCATTTGAAGGACGGAAATCAATGTAGGTTTGAAGAATGGTATGATGAACCCATTAGGAATACTACAAACATTGTTTGCAATACGTTTGGAATATGATCGGTGAATACAAACTCCAGATCTTTATGATGCAATGACAACTTACGGCAGTGGAAGAGAAACTAAAAGAGGCGGAAGAAGAAAAAATAGGTTGGAAGAGAAATTTAAGTGGTTGAAGCAGAGAATAATGGACGATAGTGACTAAACAAACACACGTATGTGTTGAGTGTAGTTTTTATCTTTATGTTTTTCGTGTCATGTATTTTCATTAGTTGTACCGAATTTAAATTATGTTAAGTTCCTATATTTGTTTTTGTATTGTAGTATTAAAATAACAAAGAACCCGAGAAATAAAAACACAAAGCGTATATAATGTAAACCATAAATAATGTTGCTATTATTTGCTGAATGTCTTATGTACATAAAATCAAAAAAAAAATCAATGTGTCCCACAACCTTTATGCTTTAAAGCAGCCGCTGCCCTGAGGCGCATCCCATCTCGCCCGGCTACACTATCAGGATCATCCTCATCACGTCGCCTCTTTATTGGAGGATGCGCTGCAGCATGATCGTCAGTAAGGGTGGCATGCTTGGTAGAAGGGGTCGTCGGTCCAGCAGTAACCTACAAAATAATAAGATATTTTAGTATATGAAATATATATTAGTAATGTACGTGTTAGCTAAAAAAATTTAAAATGTCTTACCATGGTCTCAGCGGGATCTTGAATATAATCATCCGTCTCGGGCATGTCAGTGTACAAAGTGGCCTCCATGACGGGCGAGGATGATGGCTTCAAAAAAAAATAGGCTTTAGATATTTATGACTAATCAATGAGATAAACACAAATATAAATAATAGTAATACAAACTAACCAAATCCTGTGAAAGATCCTCAGCATCCCTCGGTGATGAGCCATAACTCAGTCGGCGCCCACTATCCACATCTCGTACCGGACGATCATCAGCAACCGTCGATGCCTCTAGAGGGTCAGGAAAATACTTATTCCAATCATGTGCGGTAATGGGCGAGCCCGCGATCAACAATGCAGCTGACGGGGTTACCTGCAAAGTCCCTGGAGTAAGCCCCAGGTTAAATGAGGGCATATCACTAGGAGCATGGTCTGGCTTAGGGTGGTCACCCGGCTGATCAACTCCAACATCCTCAACAGGTGCCTCAACGCCCCTTTGCTGAGGACCACCTCCTCGCCGACCCCCACGACCTCGTGGGACACCCCTACCTCTCTGGGCACGCCTACCACGTCGACCACGTTCAGGATGCACTGCTGGCCCATGATGGTACTACTCTGGCACCACATAATAAGCCTCGTATCCTAAGCGCTCATCATCTTGGGCTCGCTGCATTGTCCGGGCAGCCAGATTTGTAACCTACCGGCCATACTCGTGCAATGCGGCCGCTCCCTCACCGGTATGCTATTGCATCTGCAGTCCCAACTGGTAGAACAGATGTAGGCCAATAGGCTACCCAATATGTAAAATATTAATTACGGAACGCTAGGTTAATGTTATAACTAAGTATACCAAATAACATACCAGCACCTCATTCCTCCCGGCATATGGAACAAATCGACCGCTAGCACGATGAACGGGATTTCCGATGAAAAGTCGGGTAATGCTGCGGTACCAGCCCATATACTCATGCTCACCATCCATATGCTTGGGTGGAGGGTGTGGCGGAATCAGGTCATGCCGCTGATCCCAAATCTCGATCTGCAACTCTAGTCATGCCTCATATGTCTGGTCAACCCTCGACGATCATCCCGCCGGTAATGTGTCATAATCCAAGCGGGCGGTGGAGGTACAAGCTGCAGTCGACCAAACTGGCGAAGGACTTGCTCGGTGGCATGATGCTCGACAATATAGAGACACATCAACGGGGCGGAAGAGCTCCACATAAGTCGGTTGGTCGAGCAATAATCGGGCAAACCGGTTATTAGCTCGTCGTTGTATGGCCTCCAAACTATTACATAAAAACAAGAACCGTGGGTATACGCAACACATATAAATCCAGGCCAAGTAAACTTAAGTATACAATTACCTACGCGGCCTCCAGCAAATCCAATAAATCCAATAAATCCCTGCAATAGAGGATATTATGTCGAGCCTCGTACTCGCGTCGCCTATCAACCCACCTCCTAGCTAAAGGGATAAACGGTGGAGGTGGTGCACCCGGAGCGATGGGTGGTAGAGGTGGTTGTAACTGCAGGACTGCTCCCAGGCCCAAACCTAATATACAATTTGGACGTAAAATTTAAGTTATATTTTTATGATGTATGTTATAATGAAGAGAGTATTTGACTATGTTTTCACCTGCAGCAGCGGCAAAAATCCTGCAACGTCTCGCTGGGTGCCCATGCTCGCCCGGCACATCTGCCTATGCAAGTAACCAAGAACAGCAGCACCCCAGATGTAATCGTGTAAATCATCTAGCCGCTCAAGATGATCAAAAAATCTCAAACTGACTAGGTTTCCCGAAGTTTTTGGGAATAATACCCCTCTAAACATAAGCAACAGCAACAATCCACCACACCACTGCCAGCCACCTTCACCAACAACTACCACGACTAGCCATATCGCTAGGTGTTGCCATAGAAACATCACTATTAGCCATAACAAAAAAATTATGTGGTTTGGATATAGTTTTTGGCGAACAAAGTTTTTTCATGTGTCATATAGAATAGTGAATAAAGAAAAAAAAATACTTTTTGTTATTTTTGTGTCTTATCCAAGAATTGGTAATACCGGTATTTAAATCTCATGTTAAATTCTGACATAAAAATTTCTATCACAATCGTGGCATAAAATAATAGTATCTAGTATTATCATTATTATCCGAAGACAGGAAAATTAACTAAATACAGAATTAAATAATAGTAATTTGTACTAAAATTAGCTTTTTCGGAGTTGTGATTGGATAGCTAGGTTGTCCATCCTTAATCAATATCGAACTCGAGTCCATGTAAAAAATTCTGGTATGAAGATTTTATACAGCGCGAATCCTAATATGAGTAATTGGATATGAGATGAAAAATAAAAATAAAATAAAAATCCAATAATTAATGGTGCCTTTAGCCGCGTTTGAAACTGCAGGGTAAGTGGAGGAGACAAAAAGTAAAATAAATAAGTAAACAGTAAGCACTCTTCGGTAAAAAGGAAAATACTAATTAGGACTTTGTTTGCTCAAAAATAATACTACTACTCCAAATCCAGTAGTAAACAGAAACGACGACCGGAGATTTCACAAAAGCAGAGAATTTTCCATTGTTGGCTCAAGTGCTGCTACACTCACTGTCTGCTCAATCAGATCCGGCTTTTCGTATCTGGTAATCCTTCTCCTTTACTATGTACCTCCACGTACCTCTGCTTCGTTGTTAACTGTAGTAGTTGTGGATTTCAATAAAGGGAATTTTCTTAGCTAGTGATTTTGACCCAAAAACTGTTACTTTTGTGCAATTTCTTTTCTAAGTGCTGATTAATAAGGGATTCGATGCATCCTTGTCCTAGTGAGTAATAGCTGTTACTCTCCAATGTTTGCTAGGGGTATTTTTAATCTTATTTGAAATCTTTATGTCAGTAGAAAATGTAGAGAATTTCTGGTGTTATATAACCTAAATTGTTGAATATTGGAATGAATGGGTCCAAATGGATACTGAGAATTTGTATGGCTGGCCCCAACTAATTAGGGATTGAGGCATAGTCGTTTTTTTATTATTGAAATAAAATAGAGATAAAGAGTAAGAAGGTGCATTTGAGATTGAGTCATTTCTCCTTTAAACTATCTAATTTTTTTTGCTTCCTTGAGGGACTTGATTAGAAATTCTGTTCTGTTTGAATTCAATTTATGAATATGCAGAAAACAAACTAAAAGGGGAAGGTGATAGTGTATGTTTGTTATGTTTTGTCATGAACTTTTTATTGGATAATATATCCTTTTGAGTTGCTTGGGATTAAGGCATACTTGCAGTTGTAGTTTTTTAACTTTTTTTAATATACCTTTTGATAACAATTTGCACACCATACAACTGCTTAGAAGTTATGACAGTTGTTACTTGGATATAATTACTTTTAGTTACAATGCATTGGCTTCAGCTTTGAGGGGTCTCACTTGAGGGTTTTATTCTCTTTGATAGAAAGGAATGATTCTGGTAATAAGATGCGGATGAAATGTCATTTAGGAATGATAAGAAACATATGAAGTGACCTTTCAGATTATTTAGAATTATTTCTCTTTGCTATTCATTCCGTAAGACCAGTTCATGTTTTACTAGTTTTGGCTATTTATGACTTTATGTAGTACAGGATTACATTTGATGACATATTAAATTCTGTTTATCCATTTTCAGAACGAAAAGTAGCACCTGGTTCTTGTTTGCCAGCTAAACAGCCATTAGCTATGGACCACTTTGGAGGAGGAAGTTGGACAATGATCCCCAACATCCAAACTCACAGCAATCCTTCTACACCCTCAAATCAAGACCAATTATTTCTGCAGCAACAGCAATTTCAGCAGCAACAGTTCAATCAACCGCAACAGCTCTATCAACAGCAGCAGCAACAGCAGCAACAACAACAACAACAACAACAACAACGCTATCAACAGCAGATGCAACAGCAACAAATGCAGCAACAACATCAGCAAATCCAGCAGCAGCAACAGCATATGCAACAACAGCAACAACAGCACCATCAATCACTTGCTTCTCACTTCCATCTTCTACAAGTACTAGGCAAAAACCATGATCTATGGATTATCTATAAATTGCTATTTCAATGGAGTAATGAGGCATTTTTATTTCTTAGTGAGATCTTTCGTTCTAACTTTAATTATCATCTTACAGTTGGTGGAGAATTTAGCTGATGCTATTGAAAATAGAAACCGAGATCAGCACTCAGATGCATTGGTTTGTTCATATTTTAACTGATGCATTATATGATAATTTGATCATACATGTTAGTTTGCCATTTTCTTCTAGTTTAACGAAGTTACTTTTTGCTTCATAAGGTTACTGAATTGAAGAACCAGTTTGAGAAGTGCCAGCAGCTGTTGACCTCAATATCAGGGTCTATTAGCTCAAGATCAATGGTATTTCACGTGCATCCTTTGATAGCTGTTGAAACTTGTTTTGAACACACTCCATATCCCCCC